AGCCCCTGAGCAGGGCCGGGAAAGAAAGTTCTGTGTCTGAGGGTATTTGCTAAGCCTCGGCTCCTCGGGGGTTGGGAATGAGATCAGCTTAAGACGTTGCCGCCGCAAATAAAAACTCCTAACCGAGTTGCTTTGTTTTCCTCCGCACTTCAACAGGAACAGCTTCTGCGAGCCCTAGATTTCCGGAACAAGTTTGCTTCCCGCCCGTACTTACCTTCCCGGGTTATACCTCCAGAAAGGAAAAAGGTGGGAGCTACACTCTTTGTGAAATAAACTTCCTTAGTGGACTTAATGTAACTTCACATGTGTGTGTAGGAGTACAGGCCATGAAGATCTTACCCAGTACAGTTCGGCTAATGCAGTGTCAACTTGATTGGAGTATTGTGGTTTTAAACTAGTTTTAACTGTTACTTGTAACTGTTACTGTTACTTACGCATATCCTTTGTAGCCAAACACTAAAGTTAGTTTACTCCTAGTGAGACTAAAACCTAGGAGTCTGTATATAGGATAGTATAAACTGGTTTATAGAGAATTGCTTTTTGGCAGTTGAAACCTTTTAGGAAAGACACAGTGAAATAGGACAGAGTTTTCCGAGAGTCTGTCAGGTTCGACATCCCATTGACTCCCCACTGAAGCACTTGTGTGAGGCTGTTACTGGGGCATGTGAGAGGAATGAGGAAAAGCATCACTCCCTGGAAATGGCCAGGTCAGGCTGAACATCCGTCCAGTTTTACTCTCCATCAGCATCCCTCGGGTGTTCCCACTGAACACAAAGTGTCTGCACACTGTGGCATGAGTCTTATGACAACTGATAAGTAGGGCGAATTTTAAAAACTTTTAGACTGACACTTCATTAAGTAACACGTTTCATGCTAATGTTTCGCTGCTTAAAACACTGTGACTCGGTATCACTATATACTTAACAGACATCAGTCCTTGCCAGTCATATCATACATTCGCTGCAAAGTACAGCAGCACAAGGCTGATACTCTGTTGTTAGTACTAGCAGGTAACCCTCCACCCTGACCCAGGCCAGGATCTTGTTCTGGAGGATGGCTGCATTTCTAGACTGCATCTAATTTACAGCACCCACTGTGACTGCCTGCTTCAGGATGCTGAGGAACAGCTTTTTCAGGCCACAGCAAGCACCTTACCATGTTGGTTGGCTTCCCCCCACTCCCTTTTTGTTTATGGGGTTTTTTTCCCCCTTGGTTTATCAGCTCCTGCTTTTCTTAAAGCCAAAGTAGTTTTTTTGCAGCTCTTGAGATTGCCCTTCTCCAGTAATTTATTATCAGTTTATTGTTCTGTGGCCTCTATTTTTAACCAGTGCCCATATTTTCAAGGCCTTTGCTGTTTTCCACACTTCAGCAGTCCATTATAACAGGTAACAGCTAGCAAGCTTTCATTCTCATAACAAGTCCCTAACTGATGGATCAGCCTAGGGCCTTGGACAGTTATCCTAAGTGCCCTGTTACTAGCCATTACAATACTTTATGGGGCACAGGGCACAAAAATACTTGTACTGTGATACTTGGCTTGTGCTTGAGTTCAAAACAACCAGGTACTGCAGCGTGCGTAGGCTCTCCTTTGGCCACTAACAATCCACATTTCTAGACAGCTTGATGAGGGGGATCTAGTTGGTGGTGGGGCCTGGCAAATAGTCGTACTGCGAGTAGTATTCAAAATGCAGGTTAACTGTAAATATATTCAGTTGTATGATTATATCTTCTATTTGTTGTTCCTTTCCTAGAATTTTCAGACATTTAATACACTGATTAAACTGCACGTTAAGTATGTTTTCATGGGACTGTCAGTCACAACACCAAGACCTTATACAGAAAGTTAGGTTTGCTTTTCCCCATTTATACCACATTATGTTTATCTCCACTTCATTTTTGTCTGCAGCCTTATTGTCTGGTCAGTGATGATTTTTTTAGGGTCCTTTTGCAATTCTTTATGAACTCCACTGATAACCAATATGAGCAAGATAATTTAGCTATTCTCTCCAGTGTTTCTTTAGAAGCAATTGGAAACAGAAAAATCTACAATCTGTGGGCAGTTGTGCCTGATCAGTTGGCCATTCACCTTACTAATTTATTAATGAATTGTGGGCGTTCACGCTGCCATTAATCACATGCAAAAGGTCCTCTATTGTTTATCCAAGTGATTCTTATATACTCAACTATTAGCAGTGCCCACTCACCATTGGCTAACAACTATTATTAGCCCACCTTATACACAACATAATTGGTTATTAACATATCAATCATAAAATGCCCCAGTTCTCCACCTCTGACCATCTTCAGCTCCTGCATCCCACAGCCAGGAGCTGCTTATCTTGCTACCTTCTTCCTCACATTCCAGCTGCAGCAGTGTCCTTGAACAGCTTAGCTTGCAGCTTGCTCAGGCCCTGCTAGCAAGGCTGGATTGCTCACATGTCTGTTAGCAATCAGAAATTCTCCCACAATTAATATTAAATTAAAACATTATTGCTGGATAGAACTCTGTTAGAACAGGAAGAAGCAGATAGGAAGGTTAAGTACTTTGCTTCCTCTTGAGTTCATACATGCAAATAAATGCAGTGCAAAGTTTCTTGCCATATGTCACCTTGCAGAAGGACTGAATTAATTTCAATGTAAATCCTCCACTGTAATTTCTGGAAGGCAGGTCATTTTTTTATATTGCCACACATTCCAATCCTTTTTTCTTGTATTAGATTCTTCTCAGTGATATCTTAGAAATTAAATGGCCTCACCCTGCTACAGCTGATCTGACAAGATGTGTAGACAATGGCAATGTGAAGATCTCATCCACAGATGGCTATGCTCACCTTTACTTGCCAGAACTGCAGCAAGAATTTACCGTGGAGTTCTTATGCAAAGTCAGCCAGTCACCTGCAGCATCCTTACGCTCCTCTCAAAAGAACAGCAACTATCAAACTGGAGAGCAGTATGGAAAACCAAGTGAAAATTCTGTTGCAGAAATGCCATTGAAACAAACAAGAATAGAGAATAAGAAGAGTGAACATGGTTGTGCTGAAGGTAAATACAGGGAACCAACCAAACTAGAGGACCAAGGAGATGGAGTCCCTGTGTTCTACACAAGCTGTTCTTCTGAATACACATGGGTTACACAGCGTTGGTCTGTTTCCTCCTGCCCAGAAGAATGGAAATACCCTTTGTCCTTGGCACTAATGTGCTCTAAGTTACATACTGTTAAGAATGTAATGAAGACGTATGAGGAAAACAACCACACATCTCTAGAATCTGATGTTTTAACAGACCCTGAGACACATGAAACAGTTTCTCGTTTACCTACAGCTTTGCCACTTAGCTGCAGAGCCTCACATTTACACAGGTAATGTAAGATGTTTACTTTGTAGTTGTTAACATATGTTTTACAATTCTGCAACTTGGAACTTCAACCTCTTGCAAAATTATTCTAGCTATTAAAAAAAAGTTTGAAATTGCTGTCAGTTGGGCTTTTATAGGAACTTATTGAAACATGACGTTTGTGAAACCAACGTCCCTGCTGTAATGAAGCTATAGTAATTAGTCCAGAGGAAAAATAAATTTTATTTTCTGACATGATGTATAAACAGGTAAATGAAAAAAAATTACTGAAAAAGAGCACAGATTTTGGGTCAGTTTGGGGGTGTTTTTTTCATTTTTGAGAAGATAGTATTTCTGAGGTGGGCCAGTGGCATATGTTCTCTGTCAGCATCAGTAAAAATAATTAAAAACACCTTTGCAAGATTGAGGAGTTTATTTTGGGAACTAATGTGGATAACTAAGGAATCAGAGGACTCTGAAAATATGCATCCCCTTTTCCTTTGAAGATGTGCTTAACGTCTGTTCTTGGTACAGAAATGATCACCAGTACACACAAAGTAAAAAAAACCCAGTCTTTGGACTTACTGAGGCTTTTATTGCATTTTATGCAGGTGGATTTTCTGTGACTTCTTTTGGAATGAAGATACTTTTCAGTATTCATACCCTCAGCTAGTTCAAGTCGTATGGTGCCAGGGTGTTTTTTATAGGTATGTAGGTGATAGTGTGTGTCATATTTGGAAGACTTTATCTAGGAGTGGGAATTTAGCTTTAAGATGAAGTGTCTTACGTGCTCCCTTTCTCACTTCTTTAGACTGAACTTGTATACAATCTTCATGTAAGAGTCTCTGCATTTCTGCTGTTTGTTCATTTGACTTAGAATTTTCTAGTATAATGTATTTCCAGGTGTGAATCTGAAATAATTTGAAGGCTTTTAAATAAATGATCTGAGTATCTGATTTCTTCAAGGTTTAGTGGACAGCTGGAGTTCCCAACAGATTCCACTGACAATTATGGTGCTTTCTTTGCAATTACTTTGCTCTTTTTGATGCTGAAGATTTCATGCAGTAGAAGTGTTTGCCTTGGTGACCTACATACCGCATGTTGCAGGAAGTTCAACTGTGGATTTTCCTGGCAAGTCACCTTGTTCATATGGTTTAAAAAAAAACCAAAACCAAACCACCCCACGGAAAAAGGACTTAAATGCCCTTTCAAAGCTGTTAAAAATCTTTGAATTGCTATGATTGCTATCAGCAACTGGAAGTCTTTGATAGAAGACTCTTGGTGTTCAAAGCTTTAATCTTTCTGCTCAGTGTTCTTCAATTTTCTTAGTGTAATTCCTAAATTTTCATCTCATCTGAACAAATTTTTAGCAGCTCTTCAGAGCTTTTCTCTCTGAAACCTCAATTCTTTGGAAGCATAGTGGGTAGCCATACCTAGTCTTGCAGGCCACACCTCCAAAGTCCAGGCATCTAACCACAGAGTTGCCAAATTGGGTTTTAGGCTCAAAGATACTCTATGATCATGAGTGAAAGAGATTGATCTTCATGAAAAACACACAGCTGCAGTGCAAATCAAGACCTTCAGGTTGTTCAGGAATCGTTAAGTGTGACAGTTTTCTGTGTACGCTCGAGAGAGTTGCTCCACTAAGAAAATTGGATTTTTCTCTTCAGAATCACTGTATGTTGCGGTCAGTGGAATGAGCTTCTCTTGTGAGATGCTTGCCTGAATCAAAAAAAGGCTTTCCTTCACTTATTTTACTCCCACCCTCCATGCACACATGCAAAAAGAAGAGCCTGGTAATGCTAATCTTTTGTGTTAAAAGAAATTATTGGTGCATTCTGCTCTTTGTGAAACAGTAGAAAGTTTTAACACTGCTGAAAATGTGTTTCTGCTTAATGCTTTCCTCAAGTGTACAACCTGTTTTGCTTGTCTAGTGACACAGCATTTGAAGTACTTGTTAAAAATCTTGTTATTTTTCTTAGATTTATCCACGGTAGGACAAACATCACTGAAATTTATCCTGGTGATGACTCACTTTTGAAGTCCGAGGGAGCTTTTTTTGGAAAGTATTTCATACATTATGCAATCCAAAAAGGAACAAAAAAGGTATAAAACTATTTTAAAGTATGCTCCAAATTCCTTCAAATTAGTAGCTTTCTTAGTTTTAAGACATTTGGCTATGCACTCTGCAGTGTAGTCCCTACACTCTCAGTTGCTCTAATTCCTGAACCAAGCCATCAGTCATACAAAAAAAAGATATTATTTCTTCTGTTTCAGAAGGTATTTTTGCAAATTATAGACACAGTAAGAAAAATCTTACTAATTTTAGCATTTATTTTATCAGACTCGAGAGTCAGAGTCTACAACAACCATCACTAATTAAAAAGCTTAGTCTTTAATATATTGATTAATCTTTATGTACTTGGAAGCATTTTCTGCTGTACAGAGGCAGAACTTAGAAGGTGCAGGTTTCATTTTGGCTTTGCCACAGACCAGCTGTTCAGTGGTGGAGAAAGGATTTTGCCTCTTTGTTAAGCTTCCCCACAGCAAAGATTCTCTGGTATGTTTATGTAGTGCTTTGTGTTTTTGAAGCAGAATCAAGTGTCAGCTTTGTACCCTTCAAACCGGCCTTTTACTTGTAGTCAAATGCTGTTGCACGGTAATGAAGTACAGCTTATTCTGATAACAGAATTTCTTAGTCCTTAATGAGTGCACAGAAACTGCATTTTTCTTCACACAGAAGTAGGTTTAAAAGGTACCTCAGGTTGTTTTTTTCTTTTACTTTTCAGTGAGATATTTGTCAGTGATCTGGGTCAGATTATTGTTGCTTTCAAGGAGGTTTGAAATTTCTTAACTAGCAAACTCTTAATGCTGTTTTCATGCTACCTGTAACTAACTTATCTCCTTTCTGCCCTTTACTGCAGGTGGAAGAAAAGATGTATTCAGTGAACAGCCTACCCCCTGATGTGCCAGGAAATCCATACTCTGTATCCTCCATTATTACTCAGGCAACCAAGTAATGTAACTTTATCTTTGTTACATTAATTTCTCTGACTTAGAAAGGACAGGAGTTAGAATTACCCAGAACACTATTACATTAAGTATAAAAATGAAAGCAATTCATATTAGTACTGAGGGCATATGTAAACTTACAAAACAAAGGTCACAACTGGTTAGAAAACAATAATAATGAGATGCTTAATATTTTGTTTGTGTTTTTTTCTCCTCAGAATACTTCGGTATTGCTGCAAGACAAAACTATCATTAAGTCATAACTATTACCTCTGCTGCTGGAAGGTGGTACGTAGCTGGAGATTTATAAATCTTTCAGTGTTACGATTACACAGGCTGTAGGGAATAGGCCTGAACCCAGAGGGAAGAATGGTGAGTGTATCCTCACAGATCAGGAGGTGTATATTGGGAACCAAAGCATGCAGTGTATATCTGTGAAGCAGAAAGCAATTTTGTGATGAAGACAGCTGGTTGTGGTCTGGAAAAACAAGTAAATTGAAAATCTGGGACAGATACAAAAAGCTGTAATGACCTAAGTAACCTTTCCTCAAGTTTTTAATGTATTTGTTTGGTTCTAGGCACCTGAGACAGATGGACGAGAAACGTTGCCGGTTGTGCTGTATGAAAAGGTTATTCCCAGCATTGGAAGACTCATTGTGTACTCAGATCATAAAGTCCATGCTGCTTTTTGGGATGGAGTGACCCTGAATATGGTCTGGGATTTCAGCTCTTCCTGTAGTGAGATACAGGTAACACTTGAGTTAGAGGAAGGACCTTCCTAAAGATTCTTCAGGAAAAGGTATTACTAGGAAACTAATGAGGAAGCAAAATGAAAGTTCTAATGCCCATAAAATACAAAAATAAAAAAAATTTGAAAATTCTACAGGTTTAGATACATTTCTACAAACTTTCAGAGATAATTTATTCTTGCATAGGCCAAAACAATTGTTGGGGCTGTGGCAGGTGCTTTTCCCCTGTGTTTGTCATAGCAGACTGTACCAAATTCTATCCTTAGCAAAACACAAACTTGTAAATGTTTAAAGTGGAATGTTCATAGATACTTAATTCTTAAACTGTCATATTATATTTGCTTTTTTTTATTCTGACTGCAGCAGAAAATTAATAATGGTATTTTTTTTATCTTCTTAAGGTAAATGAGGATGTAGGTTGGTGTAAGTTAACTACTCCTGATGGGCTACAGCAGCTACTACAAATAAATCATCCTGGAGTCTACGAAAGGTATAAGCAATTTAAACAATTTAAATATACAATTATTCTACAAATACTTTTATATGCAGAAACAGTATTTGCTGACAATATATTGGGAGGGGCAGACCAAACACATAATAATAAAAGCTCCATCTAACATCTGGCAAAGATTCAGGACCTGTATGAGTCAGGGCCACTGCATCCTGTGATTTCATTATAATTGTGACAACAGTGTCTATTTAGAAAAATAACTAGAGCTGCAACTTTGCATTTACATCAGCGGGCAAGGAAAAAACCCAAATGCATTTGTCCTCTATAGAGATGGGACATAGAACTGTACAGTTTTTGCTTTATTTCAGATACTGACCTCTGCCTGGAGATTTCTTTTTCTAATCTGCTTGCTCTAATTACAGCCCTATTATGGGAATCATCAGGACGTTACTGTGCTGCATTTTAGTAGGGAGATATTCACAAATGAAAATTAACATTTGTACACTATTCATTACAAATCATACAACTTTCTGTAACTGCATAGATCTAAACATGAAGGAGATTCTGGATAAAAAGCGTGACTCAAAAAAAGGGCAAAGCAGGGTAAAGATAAAACTAGATTTTGAACCATGGCTTTTCCTTTCAGATCCAGGTCTATTGCTAATGCCTTCAGGTTTTTGCTTGAATTAATAGAATTCATCTCTCGTATAAATAATGACTTTTTTTGAATTTTCACATTAACATAGGTACATCAGAACAGCAATAGAATGGTGCAGAAGCCTGAATGAAAGGAAGGAGATTGCTGAATTTACTGCATACTCTGTAACTGAAGAAAATTGGTATTCATCTTTATCCTAAACAATTGACTATAAATAATGTTGAAAACCAAACTCAAAAAGATTATAAACTATTAATTTTATAGATTGCATTTCCTAATGGTCAAAAATGAAAAAATTAAGTCCATTTATTCTATATGGTTTCACGTTTTTAGTTCTGTGTTTAAGTTGCTAAGTGAGTTCCAGGTGAAGCTTTCATTGAGCTTTGCCTCTTAGTTAAAATTCAGAATTATGGTGACTTTGCCAAAGGAGGATTAATGTTACAGAGATAGTATCCTGCAGGGCAAAAAAAGAGAAACTAGACTGAGACAGGTGTCTTGTAACAGAGCATCGAACAGTACAAGACAGTACAGTGGACTGCTAAACGACACTTTGCCTGATGTATTTGTGTTTTAATGTACATGCTCCTGACAAAATGTCTACTGACATCACATGCAAACACATTCGGGTATTAATAATATATTAATTAATTACACTTGCACTTGTTACTCAAATTATAGCAGATTCAGCTGATACATTTTAGAGCTGATGAAATGGAAATTGTATCTATATTTATGCATACATAGAGCAAAGAGACTATTCTTAGAGCAGAACTGTGGTTTTTGGCAACACAAATGATTGACAAATGTCAGCCATTGACCAGTGATGTGAAAGACAGAAATAAAGCACTTTTTTACTTGGATTTTGCTGATCTAATTTTCAGTATTGCTGGAAACTGCTAAAAATTAAAATCTGAAGTAGAAAGTACCTTTGAGAACTTTTTATGATACCAAATCATTTAATAACCTTTACTTTCTTGGACAGGTCTGCCGATGCTGAGCTCGAAAAAATACAGAGATTTAATTGTATCCTTTTGAAAACTGTACAGATTTTTTCACTTTTATATTCTGCTGTTCACCTGCATATCCAGACCTATACTTCAGATCCTCAAAGTCTCTCTGTTCTGTTCACACCTTCATTTACTGTCTTACCCACTTACTAAAATTACCTCTTTTTTGTATTTATTAGTTTTGGTTTATCACTTATCTTTTCCAACCTCTGCATCACAGCACCAGAAACAATAAAAGTGTCAAAGTACAAGGCTGGAATGAAAAGTCACAAACTAAAGAAGCCCTTTAATGGGTGTTACATCAGGTCTGCTAAGAGTCATCTGCTGTGTTCTCGAGAGAGGGGTAACACTGTTGCCTTTGGGCTTGTTGTTGCAGTACAGCATCTTTCTGTTTATCAGCTACCTTGGTATTGGTCCGTTGTGTTCAGCCAGCTCAAAAAAGCAGACTGTGCTGAATCTGCTTAAAGCCACTCCATAATTGTCATTAAGCCAGTGTTCAATTTTGTTAGTATGAAGAGTGCACACTGTTTGCAGTGTGACATCAGTTGTCTTTTTTAAGTGACTAAAGTCTAAGAGACATTGCTCTATAAATGTTGAAGATATTTTATGTAACATACTTTTACTTTCTAGCTATATGTAATTACCATGTTACAAAATGTGAGACTTTGCAATGCAGAATGATGAATACAAATATGGAGAAGTATTTTTTTCTCATTAGGAGGAAGAGTTTGGTATTTTTTTCTTAACAAAGTAACACTAGTTTTATTAGACAATAGCAGTGTTCTGAAAAGGACATCTGGTGCAAAATCCAATCCATCTGGTGCCCCTGTCATAAGAACTGAACACGGGAGTGAGTCAGAAGAACTCAGTGAAGGGAATGTCTTGGAGGCTTTGGAAAAAACTTCTAAAGTCATTCAGGATATTGAATCCCTGCTTGCAGCTTCTGGAAAGTGAAGCCTTACAACACGTGTGTTCCTGGTCTTCCTGGGAGCTGTGTCTGAGGGGGCTGTGAGGGACAAGAGGAATGAAGGCTGAAGGCAGAGTGATAAGTTCCCATCATAACACCAGTGAAGTCTATTAGCTGCCAGTGTATTGTCAGTCATAATTCCAATGGTATATTGGGCATGGGCAAAGAGGGCAGGTGAAATAATAGAGAAGAGCTCTATAAACACATCAGGGCTGACCTAACCGCGCTGCTTTAAAA